AAAATATATGTAAAACTGCAAAGAACCAATAATAGTTAAGTCATCCTTGAAGAAGAAAAATGAGGCGGAAGGACTTATTCTGGTAGATCTCAAAAGTAAAGATGACACTGCTGGACAGCAGGGAATGAATTTAATTTTCAATGAAAATGTGCTCGGTAAATTGTTTATCCATAAAAGAAAAAATAATTGAAATTAACCCCTACCTCACGGTTCAGTTACATGTGGATTGTAGATCTAAATGTAAGAGGCAAAAATATAACACCACTGGGAGGTAATAAAAAAAATCTTCAAGACCTGGAGAAGACAGCATTTCTTACATAAAACACAAAAACCTAAAGACTTTAAAGGAAAAGATTGATAAATTAAACATTATTAAAATAATAAAAATATTTGTTTATCAAGCAATAGCATTAAGAGAGCAAAATGACAAGTCACAAATTGAGAGAAGATACATTGAACTTGTGTAACCACAAAGGCACTATATTCAGGACACATAAGAAACTCCTACAAACTCCAATAGGAAAAAGATAGAAAACAGAATAAACAACAACCAACAACAACAAAAAAGATTCTACCAAGACTCAAGAAAGGATATCCAAAAGTTTAAGAGTTCAATAAACACATGAAGAAGTGCTCAACTCTATTAGTCATCAGGGAAATGCAAATTAAACCACAGCAAAAAAAACATCATACACCCACCAGGAGAGCTATAATTGAATACTTAACAGTCTAAGGCTAACACTCCGAATGTTGCCAAGGATATGGAACAACTAAAAATCTCAAACACTGATAATGTGTAGGTAAATTTGGAAAAATCTTTGGCATTTCCTACTAAGTTTGAACATAGGCATACTATGTTGGTTATCTACTGCTGCATAACAAAGTACCCTAAGACTTAATGATTTAAAACAATTCTCCGTGTGTCAGGAATTTGACAGCAGCTTGGCTGTATGGTTTTAACTTTAGTGTCTCTCAGGTATTTGAAGTTAAGATGGCAGTTCTTCTGAAGACTGGACTGCAGCTGGAAAATTTCTTTTTAAGATGGCTCACTCCCATGATTATAGCCAAGAAGTAGGTGTCTCAGTCCCTACTGACCCAGATTTTTCTACACAGGAATGCAGCTCCTACCAACCTCATTCAGCCAATTCCACTTAATAAAGGTGTCCAGCCATCCTTCGGAGTTTTATTTAGATGGTCCACTACTCTCTAGTGCAATGTGTCTGAGGTGCTTGAAAACCTTTTATTCTTTCTATATATCTATGTTCATTAAAGGCATCACCATCCATCTAGGGTTAATAGTCAGAAACCTATATCCTTCTCTCAACCCCCACACTAATTGATCATCAATTATGTCAATTCCACATTCTACATATCTGTAAAAATATTCTCTTTTCTCCATTTCCAACACCAGTTTTGGCTTGGGCCCTCAGTTCTCCCACCTTAACTATAGTTAAGTGTCCTAACTACTCTCCCTATCTTTCATCTAAATTCCCACCTACCATTCTCACTGCTGCCAAGTTTATCTTTTGAAAACGCAATTCTCATTATGCCTCTCCCAGTTTAAAATGCTTCATTGACTCTCCATTGTCTTCTGTATGAAATCTTAGTTCTCCAGCTGGTCATACAAGGCTCTTTATTTACTGTGGCTAGCTTTCTAACACACCACCCAAGCAAAACTAAAGTGCTTATAGTTCAGCTATGTTGTTTACTGGTACTGTGATTTTTGTGATTTGGATTGGTCTGGCAAAGTCATATTCATTTTCAAACCCAAAGCAGATGTCACTTCCTCCAGGAATTATTGGTAAAGAGTGCAACAAATATTTATTGAGTATATCTGTATTTCAGATACTATGCTGGATGCTGGGAATACAAAATGCATAAGACATAGTCTGAATCTTCTAGTGTCAATCGGCTATTTACATTTCTTACCTCCCTTTAGCTCTAAGTGCCTGGTGCATGATTTTTACTTACCTGATTCTTCATTCTTTTTTCTATGTATCTGCAAAATCTTCTCCATTCTTGATAAAAACTGTACACATATAAATGTACAAATATTACACTATTCTCAAATAGAGATGCACATATAAAGTATTCAGAAAACACGCAGTATTCAGAAATATTCATAGACATAGTTTCAACTAGGAAACATGATTATAAATGATGAAATAACAGCTTAGTACTTTGTGGTCAAACCCCAGCTCAGTTAACACACAGAAGCATTGTACAGCTAGGGTGGTGAAAGGTATATGTTCTGAAAATAGATTGCCTAATTTGTATCTCAGCTCTGCTACTTACAAGCTGGGTAACCTGGGTGAGTTAATGAACCTTTGCACCTCATCTGTAGAATGGGGACAATGATAGTCCCTGCATCACAGTGCTGTTCAATACGAATTATTGAATTTGTATTAACTTGAATAATGAAAGTGCTTGGGGGTTAGACTGACGGGTAGTGAGTTATCTCAATTGGTTGTTCCCAGTCAGCTACTCAACTCAAACTCCTTGTTCTCTTCCCTCTTCTCACTAGCACACTTAGCTAGTCTTTTTAAGGAGTGCTCAGAATGGTGCCTAGCACAATGTGTTTAATACAGGGTAGCTATTATTATTACTTTGTATAGGAGGAAGTCACTGTCAGCAGGCCAAGTGATTTTTACTTTATATACAGCAATGAAAGACTGTTGTTCTGAGCCAAGTATATGCTCTTATCCAATCTTTGTTGGACCAATGGCACATGTGGGAAGAATGACTGGCCCAAGAGCACCCAGAGTTGTGGGATTCAGTTTTCCCTTAGGTAGAGCTAAATAACATATGTGGAAATAAATTGTATTAGCACATACTGACAGAGCCAGCTAGCTGTAAATACAGATGGATGGACAATATTAATAGCTAGGTGAAGGTCTATAGTATAAGAGCTAAGAGCACAAGCTCTGGAGGCAGACCATCTCACCTAGGCTCATTACTTTGCCATTTACCAGCATTGTGACCTTGGACAATTTTTCTCTTGGTTCCTCAGTTTCCACATCTATAAAATGGTACTGATATTAATAGCCCCTATTTCATGCAGTTATTGTAAGACTTTAATGAAATAAGCATGGGAGAAATGCCGGCTTTAATGAACAAACATGGGAGAAATGCTGGCTTAGGTGAATATTAAAATGGCTTTTATACCAAAGCAGGGGCTGAGGGGTATGGGAGGAAGGTGTGGGAAGAACAGGGCTCACTTTTTTTTAGACTGGAATTGAGCATTTGCTGAAGACTATTCACAAAACCAGAAACCATACAAATCCCTCAGGATCACAGACATTCAAACATAAACAATGTTGCTGGGAGCATGCACTGGCTCTCTAGAGGGGATTGAGGGACCTGACCCCCAACCACTCATACTGCAGCTTCCTCCGGCTGCTGCTGCTGTGGTAGGATCCCTCCACAAAGACCTATGAGGCTTCTAAACATTTTACCGTCTATCTTTGGCCACACACTTCCTGAATTTACTCTCTGGAAGAGAAGAGGCCCACTGGGGAAAAGAGAAGTCAGATCCAGGAGGGAACCGGGAGGAGGAAAGAGAGGGAGAAGAGGCTGGGTTAAGATTCTGAATCTATCCAGGACAAGGATGCTCCTCTGGTTGGAGGGGAAATGAAGGATACCAAAGAGGCCCCCTCACAGCAGAGTAGGCAGGATATGAGCTCAGGAGAAATAATATTGACTTCTAAGTTTAGTGACCAGAGTGGGAGCGTCCTGAAACTGTGTTTAATGAATTTTTATAATTCTTTTCTTGAAGAAAAATGTGATGGCTGGTGGGCTTCCTGCCATGGAAGGAGAGACTGAGATTACATGCTACATGGCCTGGTGCAAAGAGACCTAGAGTCTTTGCAAAGCAAAAGTCAAAACCTTGGTAGGGGCTGAGGTCCGTGAGTGGCTTTTCAGTGACAATGAACGATAAGAAAAAATAAAAATAAATATACCTATGTTAACCTATGGAAAGTGGGAGCTGTATTTTTCTAACTCCCATCAATTTATAGTTTTCTAATTTTTCTAAAATGTTTTACTTTAATAGATGTAGAAATTTGAGTCTACTTCTCTAGTTTATGTCTGTCTTCTAGAAACGCATCTTTGGCCCGGCGCGGTGGCTCAAGCCTGTAATCCCAGCACTTTGAGAGGCCGAGGCGGGTGGATCACGAGGTCGAGAGATCGAGACCAACCTGGTCAACATGGTGAAACCCCGTCTCTACTAAAAATACAAAAAATTAGCTGGGCATGGTGGCGCGTGCCTATAATCCCAGCTACTCAGGAGGCTGAGGCAGGAGAATTGCCTGAACCCGGGAGGCGGAGGTTGCAGTAAGCCGAGATCGCGCCATTGCACTCCAGCCTGGGTAACAAGAGCGAAACTCCGTCACAAAAAAAAAAAAAGAAAGAAACACATCTTTATTTTATTTTATTTTCAAGACAGAGTTTTGCTCTGTCACTCAGGCTAGAGTGCTGTGGTGCCATCTCTGCTCACTGCAACCTCGGCCTCCCAGGTTCAAGCAATTCTCCTGCCTCGGCCTCCTGAGTAGCTGGGATTACAGGGGCTTTTTTGCATTTTTATTAGAGACGGGTTTCGCCCTGTTGGTCAGGCTGGTCTTGAACTCTTAACCTCAGGTGATCCACCCGCCTCCGCCTCCCAAAGTGCTGGGATTACAGGCCGTGAGCCACTGCACCTGGCTTAGAAACGAATCTTTGGTTTCTAGAAAATCTGAACAGACATTACCTGTAAACTTCATATTACTGTGTTTTTAGTGAAACAATGTTTTGCAAGTATTTACAAAAGAATGGAAGTATAACGCAGGAAACGCACCCAGGAAAGTTATATCCACATAATTCTAGAAGGAGATGGGGATAAATTTGCAGGGGGTGAGATTTCCCTAGAACTTCTGGAGGAAAGTGGAAAGTTCAGCGAGCAGGTGGCGGCGGCAGGTAGGGAAGGTAGCCGCGGTCCCCCGGGAGCCGGGGGCGGAGCAGGAAACGGTGGCGCGCCGGGCCAGAGGCGGAGCCGCTGGGAGGGCCGCAGGTAGGGACTAACCGGGCGGCACCTGCCCGGAGACCAGCGCGGACCCTCCTTCTGCGCTCAGCTGAAGTGAGGGGAAACCCGAGGCGTTCCTTGGAGAAGGTGGTGCGTCCTGGGGCGGCATCTGATGAAGAAAGACGCAATGCCCCGAAGCCCCTGAGCTGAAAAGGCCAAAGAAGGGGCGGTATGGCGTGGCCCAAACTGCCCGCGCTTTGGCTGCTGCTCTGCACCTGGCTCCCAGCAGGTGAGCCTTGGAAAACTGGCATCCACCCTGGGCCCAAGGAGACAGGAAGCCATTGTGGCCTGGCCTTGCAGAGCTGGCCGCGGGCAGGGCAGTGGAGGCCTGAGCCGGGCTCTGGTGGCGCTTGTCATGGGCGCAAGGAGGTGCGGGGACCGGATCGGGTTTCTGCCTCTGGGAACCTGTTGCTTTCCTCTTTTATTAGCCCAGGCTCTTCCCAAACAGATGCAACTAAGAAACCTGAAGCCTTTGAGCTTCCCTTCCTGCAGTCATTAGGCACTTCTTGATCTCTGAAGCTGAACTGATCGGGGTAAAAGCTCAAAAATTTCTAATTACTTTTTCCTTTCATCTGATATGGTGACAACCATACTGGCCCAGAAGTGCATATATTTCATTTCTAGGAGGTTGTATGTCCTCAGTATATAAAGCAATGTTTGGCCGGAATCTGAATCTATTGTGCAGGACCACGTGTGCCTCTGTGCTAACCATGTTCAATGTCACTTTTCTACTCTCATTGTATCCCATCACTGGCCTAACTTTACCCCTTGCTCATCCCCCATCAGATGTCCAACCATCTACCCTCTCAGGCTTCAGTCTTTTACCCTCCACACCAATCTCCTCTCTACTTTGGAAAACATGAATTTGTGTATCTCGGTGTGTGTCTTGGAAATCTGACTCGTGTGTATTTGCACGAGTGAAACCAGGCAGGAAAGGATAGCTGAGGGGCAGAATGAGCAGGCTCTTTCCACTTTTTTCCAATTAGGATGTAGGTGTGATTTTGCAAACAAGAATGTATAACTTCCCTTGGAAGCTCCACCCTGTTTGATTTCATTTTACCCATCCCCTCCCTTTAGGAATAGCCACCCTGTTACCTCTGATTTGTCAGTGGAAGGTCAACTTAGAGTTTGCTCACAGACCAATTTGACTCTTGTGTTTTTAGGTTGGGAACAGATGCAATATGAAGGTGTGTAGGCAGAATGTTCTTTTTACAAGCTTGATAAGACAGAAGAATTGCTCAGCTATAATCAAATCTCATTCAGACAGGATTCTACAATAACTTAAGGGTAATGCTGAGAGTAAAAGAGAGAGGGGCTTGCAAAAGGGTAGGGAAACTAGAAAACTAATATCCCCAAGCCCCTCTGGCTTACAAGGTTTTCTGCAGGATATAGGTCCTATAAACTGTCTGAAGTTGATAAGACTAGATGTTGAATACTCATAATGCACAGGGAAACAGATCAAACCTCAAACCTCACCTCAATTTATATCCAAAATTTCACTAATCACCAGCTTCGGCTATGAATGCAAATTTATAAAAATCCCACAGCTTTGCACAGTCGTCTCTCCTGTGCCTCACATGCTCATCTCAAACTTCACAACAGCTGGGGATTTCTGAAGCTGCTTGAGCTACCTTTTTAGAAAAGTAGAGTTCTGCTCCCACCTCTGCCCCTGGGTATTCTATCCCCAGAATTAAAACTTCGTAATCCTAAGCAAACCTCTAAACTCACTTTCACTTTATTGTTGAGAAATTGATATTTCAACTGTTTGACTCCAACACTTGGAGGGGAAATAGCTATTTCGGCAGATAGTTTTCCGATGTGTAGGAATGTAAATAAACTACGTTCAGCTATTTAATGTGGTTTACATCAATGATGTTTATGTGATGCTAGACACTGAACTGTTTGTGAACTGTTCAAAGCTTCCAGTATATAACAATGATTATAGCACATATCTCATAAAGCTTTTGTGAGGATTAAGTGAAATAAAGGTTTTAAAGCACTTAATAGACTGCCTGAACAAAGTGAGGGAAAGCTTACTCAATATTAGCCAGGGTGATAATAGTAGTCATGAATTAGAGCCAAGTAGGATTGTTTAAAGCTAACTTTAAGTGAACAAGTTTCTCTCTTCCTCCTTCCTCTATGGCTAAGAAAATGTGAACTATAATAACAGGTGATTATCACGTTGGAATTCGGAATCTGCCTCTTACTAGTTGTGACTTCAGATGGATTACTTAAACTGCCTTCATCTAGAAAACAGGTGAAATTCTTGACAAGCCAACTGCCAGTGCCCCCCCACCAATAAGGCCAATTATTGCTGCGTGGATTAAGGTTGAGCACAGTGTCTGTGCCTCACTACAAACTGCGATATGCACTTTGGAAAACCCTGAACTAGGGTGTGTTTGTTTTGGTCCATCACTGTGATCCCTCCTGTCTCTAAAAAGAGTCAACCCAATTCTCTGATTAGCCTCCAAGTTTCCACAATTGCAAAGTGTGAGGCAGTAGTAAAATTGTGTCATATTTAGGTACTTGCTGTTCACTGTGGCTTGGGGCCCCTAACGAAGCTTCTGAGGTTAGAGAGTCTTGTGATGTCACAGTCCTGTGCTCTGAGCTATGTAGAGATCAGTTGTCAGAGGTATGTGTGTGTCATCTTCACTCAGGAAATACAGGGCATAAGTCCTTCTCTCCTACCCCCACCTTTTCCTTAATTTTTAAGCCAAACTTCCCAAAGTGTCTGTCAAGATCAAATTGAAGATCAAGCTTCTTCTCTTGCTCTCACTATCTACCAAAGCAGTGCTTTCCCATTTTTTTTCACAGCTCCCAGAAAGATCCAAGTACCTTGTGACATGTGTGCACATATATAGAGTTTCTAAAATGGAAGCAAAATGATCACAAAAATTGTATTACTGAGTTGAATAAAATAATAACAATTGATATTACATATTACCTTACTGATATTAAAATTCATTTAAAAATCAACCCCACATTAACAATATTAAATATAAACACCCTGTAAGTTGATTTTCTCAAAACCTCCTGCAAACTGCAATATGCACTTTGGAAAACCCTGAACTAGGGTGTGTTTGTTTTGGTCCATCACTGTGATCCCTCCTTTCTCCAAAGAAGAGTCAACCCAATTCTCTGATTAGCCTCCAAGTTCCCACAATTACAAAGTGTGAGGCAGTGGTAAAATTGTGTCATATTTAGGTACTTGCTGTTCACTGTGGCTTGGAGCCCCTAATGAAGCCTCTGAGATCAGGGAGTCTTGTGATATTGTCACAGTCCTTGTGCTCTGAGCTATATAGACATCAGTTGTCAGAGGTGCATGTGTGTGTGACTCTCTGAAAGTTTTTTCTTCAGAAATCAATACACTTTTGGGACTGGATGCGGTGGCTCATGTCTGTAATCCCAGCACTTTGGTAGGCCAAAGTGAGTGGATCACTTGAGGTCAGAAATTCAAGACCAGCCTGGCCAACATGGTGAAACTCTATCTCTACAAAAAAAACAAAAATAGCTGGGTGTGGTGGTATGCACCTGTATTCCGAGCTACTTGGAGGGCTGAATCAGGAGAATCACCTGAACCAAGAGTTGGAGGTTGCAGTGAGCTGAGATCTCGCCACTTCACTCTAGCTTGGGTGACAGAGTGAGATGCTATCTAGAAAAAAAAAAATGAAATAAATACACTTTTAATGCACAAGTGATATGTGAATATTTATTCCTTAAAACATTAAAATAAGACTAAAGTAAGTACCATTATTGGCCAATAGCTCTGGTTGCCTTCATCCAATATCAAAGTTTATTCTTAGAATTAAAGTTTAGTGTCCTGCTTGACCCCTCCCAAATTCGAAAAGGATGTGTGTCATTTGTGCTCTTGTGAATTTTTTTTAACATCATTGTGTGGTGTCAACTTACAGATCCACAGAGCTATCAGCTTGTATTATCATTCTTTGGGATATCAAACAGCTGACTGCTAAGTAATAATATCCTTAGAGAGACAGCATCTAGACCAGTAATTTTTCCAGGGTGGTGGGGGTGGAGGTATGACCATACTGTAGACTTAATGAAATCTTATAAAGTTCCCTAATATATCTCAGGGTAAGGGGGTATGGGTGGTGGATGGGAGACTGTCCACTCAACTGCTGCTCCCTTGCCTCCTTGGGAGCTCCTGAAGTACCTACCCAGAATCCCAGCATTCTGTTGAACACAGGTGGAAATCACTTTCAGCCTTTATCTTCCCCTCCTAGCCAGTTTTACAGACAAGGAAATGCGGACCCAGGGAAGTCATGTGTTTCAGGTTGACATAGTGGAGTTAGCTGGAGAACTGGGACCAGAACCCTGGTGTCTTCACCCTTTTTCCATTTCTCTCTCTCCTATTTCATACTGTAGAGCAGGTTTGTTTTGTTTAATTGAATTCTGGTATACAGAAATAGAAACAGGTGACTACTTCCTGGATGTCTAAATAAATGCTAATGTTTAAACATCTTGCCCCAATAATAATGCAGTGAAACAAGATGCTGGATGATTACCTGTACACTATAATGAAATAAATTATTACTACCATAATAATGTATTATGAAGTCCTTGGTGGCTCATGCCTGTAATCCCAGCACTTTGGGAGGCCAAGGCAGGTGGATCATTTGAGGTCAGGAGTTCGAGACCAGCCCGACCAACATGGTGAAACCCTGTCTCTGCTAAAAATACAGAAATTGGCCAGGCATGGTGGCAGGTGCCTGTAATCCTAGCTACTCAGGAGGCTGAGGCAGGAGAATCACTTGAACCCAGGGGGCAGAGGTTGCAGTTAGCCGAGATTGTGTCACTTCACTTCAGCCTGGATGAAAGAGCAAAACTCCTTCTCAAAAATAAATGAAGACTTGAGAAGACTCTGACAATGTCCCCAATTCTTTCTAGATCTCCCATTCTGCAACTCTTGGGAAAAGGTGGAATCAAAGGAAAGCAGTTTTGACTTTGATTTTCTCATAACCAGTTAATCACCAAGTTCTGTTACTTAGTCCCAGGATCTGCCCCTTCTTTTCTATTTTAGGTGACAATTCTTATACTAGTCTACTTTAAGCATCTTCTTGCATCTAGTCCTGCTACTTCTCTGTCTACTTCCAACCATTCTCTATGCAGATGATAGGTTAACCTACCCAACGACTTAATCACCCCCACTCTTATTTTAATTTTCCATCCAAAGAAGCTCCATTAGATCCCTATAGCTTATGAGAGTGGGCT